GAAGATAATGGGGATGGGTAATTGGGTTAACTGTTTGATGATTAAACATAATAATTATATTATTGTGGGTTGAAAACCCTATGTACTCACCAGGTTTCCCAACCTGACCCACTCAGTTTGTTTATATCACAGGTGTTGATATGAAGTCACATTACATTGAGAGATTAAGAAGATATAGATCACTAGTGATAATGAATGTAAGTTTGGTTTATGCTTATGTGTCTGTATTGACGATGACATCCCAATGTTCTAAATGAATAAAAATTACATTTCTTCGGAAATGATTTGATAACGAATTTATCATGTCTTACTAGGTACAAATTCCGCAACATTTTTTATTAAAAGAAGTACTCTGATTTTTATAAAGCATAAACAAAATCTATCTTTTCTGGCCGTGAAAATGGGGATGTCACAACATACAATACATGCAAGAGTCACACAGACAGCTAGCATCATAACAATAATCAACAGGCTGGCATTGGTGCCTTAGACTCGTCAAACATTATGAGAAGACTCACCTCAATCTGATGATAAGAAAACACATGTAAGATGTTGCTACAACGACTCCTCACACTGATCACATTCCAAACCAAATCTAATCACTATTTATGGTAATAATCCACAACAAAATTTCCAAATCATAATCCCTCTCACAAACGCAACAATCACTACACATATGATATGTACCCCCATGTTTTGGAATGAGTAATTCAGGTACGGCGCAAGGACTTATGCTTTCTCAAATAAGGCCTTTTTAAGAAGTTCGATCACTTGTCGGTGTAACTTGTTATATTCTTTGGGATTCATACTATGAGCAGGTTTGTTCAGAATACTTGCACCTGGCAAAAAATCAATATAATGATGTGTGACATCCCCGAATTCACAGCCAAAAAAGACCGATTTTGTTTATGCTTTATAAAAATCAAAGAACCTCTTTTAATAAAAGTGTTGAAGTTGTTCCCAGAAAAATATGATAAATACGTTATCAAAGCATTTACTAAGAAATGTATTTTATTCATTTTAAAACATGTAGGATGTCATCATCAGTACAGAAACATAAGCATAAACATACCTTACATTTATTTACACTAGTAATCTGCATCTCCTTTAAATCTCTCAGTGTAAAGTAGCTTCATATCGATACCTGTGATACAAGTAGACTGAGAGGGTCATGTTGGGAAACCTGGTGAGTATATAGGGTTTTCAACCCACAATAATATAATTATTATGTTTAAACATCAAACAATCAACCCAATTACCCATCCCCATTATCTTTTTAATCTTAAGGATCTACCCTAAGAATCATCTATTCTTCATTCCTAAGGATTGACCTAAGGAATAGGCACGAAGTCACATCGTCGCCAGGGTTTATCCAACGGGTGCTAAGTCCATAGCTCATTTATCGACAATATTATTTTCGGAAATCCACCCTAAATACATGTCAATGGGTTTTTAGAGTACACCGGGTGAACACGTCGTTCACAACACCTACATGTTGCGAGTCTGCTAGTGTTCTACTGGACTGTCTAGAATCGTCTGTGGTTGTCATCCATAATTTGCTAGATGACGGGGCCACCGTTTGGGTAAAGGCTTTTATCACTTTTCACCTCCCACCTTCATCACATGATCTATATCGCCTTTCATCTCACCTTCCAACTCATTTTTTATCACACACCAACTATTTTATCTACCCATGTTTTGCTCCAAAATATTTGTAGATACAAAATACATATATAGTTTAAATTATTTAAAACGTATATAAAATCGATCATCTAGCCTAGACAACAAGTATTCAGATAATATGCACACATAGCATGAAATTTTATATAAAATATTTCATATCTATGTGTAAGATGAAAGAAATATGCACGCACTTGATAAGACGATGATTGGACAGCGCTTCGTCCCTTAAAACAATATTCTTCGATGAAACCGGGACGTTTCCTAAAAAATCGGGCTTCATGCGGGCAGAGTTTCGGCTCGAAAACTCTTTTTCTCGAGATCTTCGGGGCATTAGGACTTGCTTCGGGTGTTGGGATGTTATCGGGACTTCGGGGGCTAAAAGTAGGCTTAATGATGAGAAAAGTAGGAGAGAGGTTGAGAAATTAGCAACCAAAACCGGTTGCCTTCGATTTCTATTTATAGGGTGAAAATTTAAGGTTCACCTCGTGAATTCAATCCTGATCATCTCCTAGGCTTGCCGTGTATCTTCTAGGCTCGAAAGGTATCATGCAACAAATTCACCTCGTGAACCAAGTATGTTCACCTCGTGAAGGTCTCGAAGTTTGTGCCTCGAAATTCAAAAATCCATATCTTTCACATACGAGATCCATTTTTGACGTTCTTTATATCCATCCGTAGGTGAAATTATGCTCTACAACTTTCATTTAGACTCCGTCGGCTAATTTTAACTTCATTTTTATTATTATATTTTTAACAGGCCGGGACATGAAAAGTCCGTTAAAAATTCATAACTTCTTCATCCGACGTTCGTTTTTGTTTGTATTTTTAATGTTGAATTACTATCAACAAGATCTTTGATTCTCGTTTAAGTTGTTTTGGTTAAAAATCACTCGATCTAAATTTCGAGTTTTTAGTTGTATATTGTTATACCGAAACTTAGAAACATCATAACTTCTTCATACGAAGTCAGATTTGGACATTCTTTTTATGCACACTCTCGGTTTAGCGAACACTACAAGTTTTGTTTAGATTACTAAGGATAAAAATTATTCTATCGAAATTCACTATTTACGTCACGTAGTGTCGTACCGGTTCTATCGCGAAACTTCGACGGGTTATAACTTCTTCGTTCTAACTCGAATTTCAACGTTCTTTATATGTACGAAAACTTTGTCACATATACTACAACTTAGTTAAGATTATTTATTCTAAATAATACTCTATCAAAAAGTCATTTTTGACATTCATCATCTCTAAATTGACTAGCCCAAATCTGCGGGCGTTACATGATGAATTTCATACATAAAAGGAAGACCTACAGGAATGTCATTAGGAAAAATATCATTGGATTATCAAATTAAAGGATGAATTAATATAGGTGTGTTGACGTTGTTGTTGTTCGGTTCTACCACAAGAGCAAACAAAAATGGTGGTGAATGGTTCCATCTGTAATCTAAAAATTCTGATTTGGAAAGAATTAAAGCCTCTGTGGTAGAATCTCTACTGTCAAGAGGAGCTAGTACAATGTTGAGGCCATCTTTTTTGAAGTTATGGGTGTTGCGATAAACTTCATATAGGTAATCCAAGTTTATGCACCATTATTGTTGCCACCATATTTTCACAACTACCACAGTCAATAATAACAGTACATACTTTCCATTTTGTTGTATACTTCATGCGAAAAATGTTATTTCGTAACCAAAGGGTGTCGTCAACTGTTTTGTCGGTAGTGGCGGAGAGGACTCGTTGTACCACTAACAATTCCCCTCGATCGAGTAAAAGAACTTCCTGGTCATCATGGTTTAATACTTCCTCTTCCTCGTCAGTATCATATTGACATGGTGGCTCATCCACAAAAGTAACAAGTTGCTTGTTTGGTCACTCACGAGAATAATAGCTTAGACCTTAACATTTATAACATCGAAGGATTATTGTCCCGGTTTGGGTCGTCTCCCATGTAAAAGTGCCCTCATATCATTTTGCCAAGTGTACCTTCTGGTCGCGTATTAGATGCGCCAGAAGATCGCAATGGGGCCGGGGCACGGGTTGGTATGGTATGATTTTTATTCTTGAGTTGTTTCTCTACCTTAAGGGCAAGATGACAAACATCATCAAGGGTCCAAAATTGTTGTAATTGGACGATGTCTGCAACATCAGAACGTAAAGCTCCTAAAAAGTCGGCAATGATTTGTTCTTCATCTTCATCAGTTCCATAACCCATTTGTAAGCGATCAAATTTGTGATGAATTGTTCTGCGAAAGAGTTTTGTTGAGTTAAACTATGATATTAAAAAAAAAAAGCATCTTGCCTGTGATTGATGGGTAGGAATTTTGCACGAAAAAATTTCTTCATTTATTCTTATGTGTCAACCCGAGATTTACATTGTTGAACTCCTTTTCTTTTTACATGATCCCACCACAACGAAGCATGCTTCCGCAACTTAATGGCTAGGACTTTCACTTTAAGATGAACTGGAATATCGCGGAGTTCAAAAACACGAACACTGCTCAACCAATCGATAAACTTGTCTGGTTGTGCCTTCCCTTTGAATTCCTGAATCTCAACTCTCACGCCTAAAGTACGAAGGAGGTCACTATGATTTTGTGGGTGAAACTGAGGATGCGGACAACATCCAAAAGGATTTTCCTCTCTGTCGTCAACGTCATTAATAACGATGTCGTCCGACTCGGTTTTCTATGGGTGGTCTTCTTATTGTAGTTCTAATTCTCGAATTCGTTGTTGTAGGCGTTCAATTTCTTCAACATCACGTGAATCTCGACCACCAACCCCCATCGCACCACCTCGAGGTTGGGCGTTGTATTGAGGTCGTCCTTTGCCCGCCATGATCTTCAAGGCTGAATCTGATACCTCTTGATGTGATATTGAAAAAAGAGAACACCACAAATAGAGAGAACTAAAGAAAAGAACACAAAATAGGGTTCTGGGCATTAATCTTCATTCATCAACCCCTATGGAAAACAAAACTAGAACAATAAAAAATGTATTGACCAACAATTAAGGAAAGAAATCAAAGTCTCAATCAAACATAAATGGGATATTATTTAATTGTAAAAAATAAAATAAAATAAAATATCCATAAAAAATAAGAAACCCATGCATTTTAACGTCCCTTAAGGTTGAACAATCGAGTCGTCGAGTGAATCGATGTGAGACAAACCCGAAATACCGGCTACATGGTCTTGCTTTGTATCGTATAATCTTGCCTCCTTTTAGATTAATTATCAATATGCTTATTTGGTGATAGATTGTTGAACAAACCTTCTCACCATTAAATAGACACACATATTTCAACGAATATGGCTAAAGAAGTTAAAGTGAGGGACATTTTTTGTGAAGAGGTGACCTATTTTGGTGAAAAGTGTAAAATTGGCTTGGATCTGCAAATTACAACTTAGACCCCAGACACTTCTGTAATTTACTTTCCATTATAGGGACATTTCCGTAATTGGATAAATAATAATCCTGCCAAAAGATAAACAGAAATCCCTTAAAAGTCGTTCTCCTTCTGCTACCACTTCTCTATCTTCAAAGAAGAATCTCTTATCTCCTTTCCTTTATCCAGATGTTCTCGAGTTTCCCTAACTGAATCCCTCGATCCATCTTGTTCGTAGCTAATTGATGTTCTATCATTCTGATCTATTTAATTTTCTATTTTGAATTTTCGATCGGCGCCCTTTCGGATTTGGCGGTGTATTAGCCATCTAGCTTTTACTCAACTTTTTCGGTGGTGAGTGATTGTATATGCGGATGATAATTTGTTAGTTTATATATGTATTTATGGTGTCGATGATCTTATTAGAAATAGTTTGATGATCGCTTGTGAAAACTTTGGTGATTTTGAAGCTTAATTTGCTGTTTTGGATTTCTTTTTGGCGGTATTTAAGATCATAGGTATAAATATAATCGATCACTGTTAATATAACAAAATATTAGTTTTCAGAAATTTCTCCATTCAAAAAGGAAGTTGCTTCATCAGTTTTGTTTCTCCCTTTTTTTAGGTTACGTATCGGAACTCGGATTCCTTTTGATCTAATATATTATTCATTGATTTAATCTCCTCCATGGAAATCGGCAAAAATACTTGAAATTTAGCTCCGTTGTTCCATTTTATAAAACTATCACTTATTGATGATTCTGCTACTTCTATCACATAATAACTGTAACAATAATTAGTGTGTTGGATGATATTTGAATGCATCTCAGACTTCTCAATTTGATGATATCGCTTGTTACTACAGAGAAATGAGTACTCTGCAAGGTCCAGTTGTTTGCCCTTCTGTTCGTGGGAAGCAAGGTGGGATTCCTACAGTCGATGGACCTTTGATGAAGGCAAAGATTCATAGAAGTGGAGTATGTGGATTCAAAGGCATCAACAGTCATAGGGTTCAAGTGCGCCATCGACCTGGTTCAAAGACTGTGACATGTAGCTTCAGTTCTTCTTCGAATGGAAATGGTAGCATGGCTGAGAGTTTCAATGAAAACGATTCTGATTATGTCAACTCCAGTGTGGTTGAAGCTGGTAAGATAATCACTAAAAACAAACGATTTACAATTACATATACTTACAGAAGTTAGTTTATCCAAAATTGATTTCTTTTGTTGGTTTTGTTGGTTATTCATACTTCAGTTGAGGTCAAAAGTGGCCCTGATGGATTTGTGATTAAAATGAGAGATGGGAAGCATTTAAGATGTGCTCACAACAATCCTCAAGGTGGACATCTGCCTGATTATGCTCCTCATCCTGCAATTGTACTAAAGATGGAAGATGGAACTGGACTTCTTCTTCCTATAATCGTTTGTACGTGCTTATATCTTATACTTTTCTCCCCTCTAATTCTCCACAAGATTCTAGAATATTACTTTACAAGATTGCTCTTACTTCTTACACTTTTCCTTTGCAGTGGAGATGCCTAGTGTATTGCTCATGGCTGCTATGCGCAATGTCCAAATTGTATGAACATTGAATCAAGATTCCAAATTTCTTACTTTTTTAATATATTTGTTTCTCTTGGATTAATTAAAATTGTTATGTATATGTTTCAGGCTAGACCAACTATGTATAATGTAGTGAAGGAAATGATTGATAAGATGGGCTATAAGGTAAAGTCTCAAGTCTATTGTTACTTTATATTATACTCATCAAATATGTGAGATTTCCAAATTCCAATGTACACATGTCACACTATGATATGAGAGTTTTGTTGTGTGTGTCTATTTACAAGGTCAAACTTGTTCGAGTAACCAAGAGAATACACGAGGCGTATTTTGCTCGATTATATCTCACAAAGGTATCAACTTTGATAAAAAAATCACTAATGCTTCTAGAAGCTTTGGCATAATGAAAAAATTGGTGATTAAGTGATTTCGAATCTCAGGTGGATGATGAAAATGAATGTGTTAGCTTCGACCTTCGTCCCTCTGATGCCATTAATATTGCTGTGAGGTGCAAGGTATGTATGCTCTCAATGGTTTTCTTGAAATAATTCTGAATCTGAATAATTTTTACATAAAAGATAAAATATTATTATTATTATTGTTATTATTATATATTTTAGGTGCCAATACAAGTGAACAAATTCTTGGCTCATAGTGATGGGATGAAGGTTGTTGAATCTGCTAAGGTTTCATTCCAGGGTTCTCCAGATGGCTTAATATTTAAAGAACTTGATCGGTATATATCTTTCATATTTCATTTAATTATATAATATATAAATAAACTTTTTTTTCTTTTTCTTTTTTAAATTATACAAATCATGTATCAACTCTTACAGACCAAGTGGGCAGCCTTGTATTGAAACCAAGGAGTTCAATCTTGTAAGAAACATGCTCATTGCTGCTGTTGAAGAACGTTATAGAGATGCAGGTTTTATTTTATTTTATTATTTTTTTTTTAAAAAAAAAAAAAATACCTTCTTACTTTTTGGCTTAACCCATTAAGTCATTTCCTCTAGATTAAGTGCTTAACCCATTCAGTCAAAAAAAGAGCCCCAAAGATTGATGTCAATAAGACAAAAAGACAAAAATTGCAATCTTTTGTCACACCAAGAAGGTGGGACATGGACTTGTTGTACAGTGTGTTCTGTCATGTCATGTACTGTGAACTGTACTGAGTGTTTGTTTTTACAGCTCAATGGAGGGACAAGCTTACTCAATTCCGATCAAAGAAGAACTGGGCATAAAAGGTGGTGAATTCCTCTTATTTATTTTTGCAACATATAATTTAAAAAAAAAAAAAGTTTTGAGTAACTATCTTATCAAGTATATGTTGCAGGAGGATGGAATCTGTAAATAATTGATCTACAAAGTTTGGTTGTTTAAGTAAATAATTGGATCTGTGTAGTTTTATGGTACTATTATGTTATGTTGTAAGTGGATTGTAAATTTGTGAATAGTTGAAAAGTTGTAAACACGATGTCTACTGTTATGGACATGTTTGCTTTCCTCATGGCTATGTGTGCTTTTGGTTATGAGTTTATTAGGATAGAATCATAGAATGATGGATGACAATGAGATTAAATATATAACAAAAGAATGAAGATAAGTCATGATGGTATATGTAAATGAATAGTATTAAATTTAAATTTTAAAAGTGGAAACAGAATTATAAATGATGATGAAAAAGAAAAACTTGTGTCTTCATGTTATTTGATTATTTGGTTATAAGTTACTATCATTGTTAATTTGTGAAATATGTTAGAAATAAATAACATCAATAGTACACTATTATATGCTATTAATTAATTAAAAAAAATATTATATTAGTGGATAGGTTTATGGAGTAACACTTTTAATAGTTATAGTTAAAATAAGTTGGTAGTGTGGTATAAGGCTTGTAGTTAGTATCAAATTTTGATCTTATCTCTTTACAACATTTGTGTCGAAATCTAGAGAAAAGACTAGTATTTGGTACTTAAAATTATGAAATTTGAAATTTAGTATTGTCAGAATCAATATTATGATACCAAAATAGGGGTATTTGGTCCCACTTTCGGTTTTCTGGTTGTCATCAAATTGGTTTTCAGTTCTCAATCTGATTTGGATTGGGTCTAGAACCTAAACTAGGATATTCGTTTCTCTGTTTCCTATTAGATAGGTTTCATGTTCTTCGATTTTCGATCGGGTTCTAGACCAATGTTCATCCTTAGGTAAAGATATTACAGACATGTTTGTTTAATACCTTCAAAGTTATAACATGATGACTTGATGCTATTGATATTTACATATTCTTTTGTTGTTATAATCTATTAAAAATAATACATATACTTTTGGGAAAAATCATTTAAATGACCAAAATAAGTGGAGTCATTTAACAAGATGACAAACTTTTCGATACTTGTCTTTAAATAATCATCAATTTTGCAGTGAATCTCATTGCAATTGCAAAGTTACTTTTTGAATTAAAAAAAAAAAAAAAAAAAAAAAAAGAATCAAAATAGATATAGTAAAATACATTGATGTAGTACTAAATACATATTCATGGATATTGCGAATACATGTAATATATTACAAAATATATAACATCTTTTCGTTTTTGTTTCTCTTTTTATGACGTTTTTATGGCTAAAACTTACTTTAGCATTGGCTTTTAAACCATAACCATTTAATGGTTATTTTATAATAAATACAAAAAGAATGATCATTTAATAAATTTGTTAGCTTTTGTCATTTTTTAAATTTCCAACTATTTTATTATAAACTAGATGTAAAACCCATGTATTACATGAATGTATTTAAAATGAAAATTAAATATGAAATTTTAAACATTTAAAATTTGAATTTATAAGAAAATTAGAAAAATATTGAATTATTAAAATTAATGTGTTTTTTTTTTTAATTTAAACAAATAATTTAGATAAATAAAATTGAAATGAACAAAAGAAATTAATAACCCATTTTCATCCATAATTCTAGAATGTGTTTCAGACAAAACATGAAAAGAAGAAATGACATTTGATTCCAATGAGTTGAAGATTTTACAGATAAGTTTTTCACTCCTTAGTTATTGTTAATTACGTGTATGCATATATTTTTATTTTGTTTAATCGATTAAAATTTAATGTTAGATTACCCAATGCTAAAAAGAATGAATAATGTGTTTAATAATTCATTAGTTGTGAGACCAATGTATTACATGGGTTATTTAAAAAAATTAAAAAATAAATAAATATAAAGGTTAAAGTATTTGAGAACTTTGAATTTAGAAGAAAATGAAAAAAAAAATAAAGAATTATTATAAGTGAAATGTTTTTATCTTCTAAATTTAAACAAATAATCTAAATAAATAAACAAAAGAAACTAATAAGCTCTAATTTGAAAATTTTGATATTAAAAGGTAATTTATTAATGAAATTGATATTTATTTATTACTACATTTACTGCAATTATTACATTAAAATATTATGCGAGATTTAATAAAATAGAAAAACTCATAGAATGACATATGGAAAAAAAAATAAATTTAAAATAACCACAAAATGACATTTGACAAGTTGAATGAGAATGTGACATGTTGTAAAAAAAACCTTCATTTATTAGAGTACTGGTTTATAACCCGTGGGAACCACGGCTATAAAATTAATTAAACTTTTATAGTAAAAATTCAAAATTAATAATCAGTTATTTTAAATAAATTATTAATTTAAAAGATATTTTTTTAGTTATGCGAAATTATAATCGTTGATTCAAATAAATATGTAAAATTAATTTTTAATATATATTAGACATTTTTATTTGTGAATTAATGAAAACATTAATATAAAATTTAAATTTTAAAATAGAGAATAAATACATTGACAAATAACATCACATTAATGAGGAGGTCTAAACGAAGAACTAATATATTGACAAGTGGCAACACATTAATTAAGAGGTTTAATATGATGACACATGACAAAAGAACTATTTTTTTATTAGTATAGGGATATTATAATAATTGACAAATTGAATGAGAATGTGACACATTGCAAAAAAACCTTCATTTATTAGAGTACTAGTTTATAACCCGTGGGAACCACAATTATAGAATTAGTTAAACTTTTATAGTAAAAATTCAAAATTATTAATCAGTTATTTTAAATAAATTATTAATTTAAAAGATACTTTTTTAGTTATGCGAAATTATAATTGTTGATTTAAATAAATATGTAAAATTAATTTTTAATATATATTAGATATTTTTTATTTGTGAATTAATGAAAACATTAATATAAAATTTAAATTTTAAAATAGAGAATAAGTAATTAACAAATAACATCACATTAATGAGGGGGTCTAAATAGAGAACTAATATATTGACAAGTGGCAACACATTAATTAAAATGTCTAATATGATGACACATGATAAAAAAACTACTCTTTTATTAGTATATGGATATTATAATAATTGACAAATTGAATGAGAATGTGATTTGTTGCAAAAAAACCCATCATTTATTAGAGTACTAGTTTATAACCTGTAGGAACCATAGTTATAAAATTAATTGAACTTTTATAGTAAAAATTCAAAATTATTGATTAGTTATTTTAAATAAATTATTAATTTAATAGATATTTTTTTAGTTGTGCGAAATTATAATTGGTAATTCAAATAAATATGTAAAATTAATTTTTAATTTATATTAGACATTTTTATTTGTGAATTAATGAAAAAATTAATATAAAATTTAAATTTTAAAATAGAGAATAAATACATTGACAAATAACATCACATTAATGAGGAAGTCTAAATGGAGAACTAATATATTGACAAGTGGCAACACATTAATTAAGAGGTCTAATATGATGACACATGACAAAAGAACTACTTTTTTATTAGTATAGGGATATTATAATAATTGTAAAATGAATATATATATATATATATATATATATATATATATATATATATATATATATATATATACAGAGAGAGAGAGAGAGAGAGAGAGAGAGAGAGAGAGAGAGAGAGAGAGAGAGAAAGAGAAAGAGAGCTTGAGGAATACATGGGTGACGTTGAGGGGCGCAAAGTGGGCAGCTGCATAGAGCCCAATTTTTTTATTATATATTTTTATTTAAAAATAAAAACTTATGATAAGGCCCTTTTTTATGGTTCGTCCTATGTCTTTGATGATATTTACTTTTTCAGGACCGACCTTGGGGAAATATGTGGTTGTTATGTACTTAATATTAGGTATAGAACCATCAAAAACTATATAATTTAAATAAAATTTAATCAAATATCTCTATCATATTTCTTGTATCCTTTATTAGAGCTTATTATATATATATATATATATATATATATATATATATATATATATATATATATATATATTATCGAGTTTAATAAATTTAATTGTATACCATAAATTGTGTATAAGAATATTTTATCAACTACATGTAGTTCGATATATTGAAATTTATTACAGAAAACTATACTGAAAGATTGAAATTGTTCATTAAAAATTCGATAAACCTCTTCCCATAACCCATCATAAAAATAATAATAATAATAAAAAAAAAAAAAAAAAAAAACAATGCAAGTATACATAAGATATGTGTCGGAGGAAGTTATGAGGATTCTACTAGAGATCTAATAAAAAACACATTCAAAATGCATAGATGTTGGGGATGAATTACAAAATAAAAAATAATATGAGTTCAAAAGCAATAAGAAAAAGCTAATAGCAAAAAGAAAATTGTGTTTTTTAATCAAAATGAAGTCAATTTAGATGGTTGTATTAGATAATTAGTATTAATTATATTCAAATGTTTAAGTTGTATTTATCTTGTATTTGTTACTCATTTATCATAGGAGATTCGTTTGTATTATTCTTATATAGGTACAACTCTCACGCACATAACTAAGGTGTGGTTAATTCAATCTCAGTTTATATGGTATCAACCTAACCCTAATCTTCTAACGATCTTCTTCTCTTCTTCCTATGATCTATACATGGCGACGTCTACAGATACCGCTTTCAGTATGAACACGTTGCTGCATATGATACCGATAAAACTTTCTTCTTCTAATTATTTACTGTGGCGAAATTAGATGTTGCCCTTGTTCTCCTATCAACAACTCAATGCCCATATTGATGGCTCTTCGGAAGCCCCACCCACCGAGATTAAGGTTGACAACAAACTCACTTCGAATCCTACTTATGTTACTTGGTTTAATCTCGACCAACGATCTGTTATCCTTCTTAATTCCTCTCTAACGGAAGAAGCAGCCTCTGAAGTACTTGAAGAATTCTTATTCAGAAAACTTACATTGTAAACAAACATTCTTCTAATGCCGAACAAAAACATGGACGTTACACAATTTCTTCTCTCAAGTTTGTGCTTGATTTTCGTCAAGCTTGAGTTCGAGCCCTAAGGCTTCAAAATCACATTCAATGAAGATGATGACGGTAGTGACCAGATGTTGTCGACGAAGCCAATGGGATGGGAAATGTTTCATAGTCTTTCTGATTAACATTTTTTTGGCCAGTTAACGTAAAGGTGATAAAAAGTTTTTGAAAAAGGTATAAAATGTTTGATATTGTGTTGATTTGGTTCATCATTTGATGTCAATTGCTCTAGTTCAACAATCAACGATACTTGTCCAACCAGAAAACTTGTTTGTTGGGTGTTTGATGGTTTGTTGAAATCAAATTGCAAGTTATATAAGAGAAGTGGTTGTCTTTCTATTGGTAGCGTTTGAATCATATTTTTTCTGTACATTTTCTGTAACATCCGAAAAATGCAACCAATTTAAATTTTTTTAAAACAACCCGATTTTCATTAAAAAGTTGACAAAAAGGTTTTCGATACAAGTCATTAGAGTATTCCCAGAATCACATTGCTACAAAATCATGAGGAGCGGTACGATCGCGCCTTCGCCTTGCCACAGTCTCCTGAAGAACCTGAAAAACATTAAACCACAACTGTAAGCCCGAAAGCTTAGTGAGATACCCCCAAAATACCAACCACGCAGACGCCCTTCCAGGCTGCGACCTTCCGGTCCAAAACATATAAAACATACATAACATAACAGAACATAGAACAGCCATGCATATCGGGTCTACCGTGTGACTGGTCCGCCGTATCGGGCCTTCAGTCCAACGGATTCATCCTCCAGGTCTAGTCATGTCCTTCGAGTCTACAGTGGGGTTGGTCTGCCCGCATCGGGCCTTCAACCCACCTGGTCCACTCTCTGAGTCTACAAATGTGACTGGTCCGCCCGCATCGGGCCTTCAGTCGGCCTGGTCCACTCTCCGAGCCTCGGCACGTCTGGTCCGCCCTCGTGGGGCCTACAGCCTATCCGGACCGCTCGCTGGGCCTTCGGAACAACCGGTCCGCCCTGGGTATCTTGGCCTACAGCACAAAGCAGGACCCGCCTCAACCCATCTCCAGTCCAAACAACCATGTGCACAAAACATACATTCATATAACAGTCATAGTCAACAAACCGAGCAAGCAGATCACATAGCATATCATTACCCTAACCGGGTTACCGACCTAACCGGTCACTAGCATAGCATCACTCTGTATATCGGAAAACTGACCTTAGCAAGGCCTCCTAGCATGTACCATCCTAGCTACCAGGATGCAGACACATCAAACAATAACATAATAACCATAACCGAATCTCAATACAATAAAGGGCCGGCCTTGGTGCCTTAGACCCTGTTGATATAGTGAGGATAACTCACCTCGAAACTGTCGGCTGAAAAGATAAGATCCCGCTGCTCCGAACTCTGACACGAACTCCTCCACTAAACATCAAACATACAACTCAATAAATACCCTTAATTACCAAAATACCCCTGGAAGACAACTGGTCAACCGGACAAGTCAAAGTCAACCCCTGACTGACCCTACTCGCCGAGTCAACCCGATGACTCGCCGAGTCCATATGCTCAGAACTTCCTTCAATCAGCGACCCAACTCGCCGAGTCACCCCAAGACTCGTCGAGTCCAACAACTCTGAGTCCACTCGCACCCAACTCACCGAGTCATCCCTTGACTCACCGATTCATCGACTCAACCAGAAATATTGGGACTTCCTCGACAAGACTCGCCGAGTCCAAATGGACTCGTCGAGTCCAAGGCCATCTTCAACCTACTCGCCGAGTTGTTCTTCCAACTCGTCGAGTCCCAGGCCATCTTCAAGCAACTCGTCGAGTCCACCCATGTGACTCGTCGAGTACCACCGGTCTGAATCCATACAGAAGCATCTCAGGCCATGCAATTGATCCAAAACATAGATCCAACCTCCTACAATCCATCCATCACGTAAAGTGGCAAACTTTACGTGAATCTAACGAGATTTAAGCCATATTCACCTTAAAACCAAGGTTTGGGACATGGTGACTTCACTAAGCACAAACACAGGAACTTTAATGCACTCTAGGCCTTCAATATTCCAGATCTGAGGTAGCAACCTCAGATCATCCTCCAAACTCCAAAACATTCCAAGACATACTCCCCACAAACCCCAAAATGATGAAACTAGGAATGCACAGCCTAAGGACGAAGATATTACCTCCAAAAGATGCCTCAATAGCAGCCAAACTCGAATCCAAGCAAAGCCCTTTGATCCAAGCCACTTCTCCTTCAAGATCTCTTCAAACAACACCTCTCCAAGCTCTAATTTGCTCTACAAATGATTTCCCCACGAATTTAGGGTTTCTGGAACTCAAGGGGGGGATAAGGGAGGCTGTGGAGGGGTATAATGCTCTTTATATAGGGCTCAACCCCGAAAATTAGGGTTTTCTCCATACAGCACCTACTCGCCGAGTCCATCCCAGGGACTCGCCGAGTAGGCCACTTGACACGCGACCATGACCGCGACCTGACTCGCCGAGTCATCCATGGACTCGCCGAGTCATCCTCTAAAACTTACACTTTTAGCCCTTCAACTCTACTCTTGCGATTCCGGGATGTTACAATTCTCCCCCACTTAAATTAGGCTTCGTCCTCGAAGCCTTCGGCATCACATCTTCAAATTATTTCCCACGACGCACCACTTGACCTTGACCGAACCAAGTCCCCCATGGTACAACCATAGAACCAGAAGCTCTCTTTCTCCTTCCATAAGATATGCCATACTTGTATATTACAAATTAATGAAAGTTTATCTATATTATTACAACCTGAGTGTGTATTTTTTTTATTTTTTATTTTTTAAAATTTTCAGCAGTGTGTGAAAGTGAGTAAGAGTTGAATGAAGAAGACGATAGGAAAGATAGAACAGTTAGCCATGGTTGTGGGTTTGATTGCCGTAAAATATTTATTAATACTTAAGAAATAAAAATAATAGAAAGAAAATCAAAATTAATTATTATAAGAGTATAATAGTATTTTTCATTTTGGATAGGAACCAATTTCATAATAAGGCATAAGAACTTATAGATCTATAAGTTTTTTAAGGTTTAGATCTTGACTATATAAAATAACAACCACCACTTTTAGAATTTTGTCTTAAAGTTATGATACAAAAATCACAAAGAATTTAAATTAATTATAAAAATAACAAAAGAAAACAAAGTAATATTATACTTACTTTTATTATAAAATTAATATTTATTGCGTGACTAAACAAACTTTGACTAGGTCTCCTCTAAATAGAATTCGAGATGCCTTCTCTCACGAATAAGTAAAAACCCTCTCCAAGTCGTCATGAATCATGATTCCCTTCTAGACTGTAGCGATAACACGTTTTCTTCACCTTATTAAGAACTTTAACAATTGAGCTTATTGGAGAAGTTAAATACATAAAGCTTATAGGAGAAGATAAACTTTTTAGGGCTTTTTACATAAAAGTCCTTAAGTTTGTAAAAAAAACACAGTTTTATCCTAAGTTTGTTTTTATATTCATTCATGTTTGAATTTTATATTTTTTACAATGAAACAAAATTAAGCAAAATATTATTAATGTTATAATCTTTTTAGGTTTTATCGTGTGTATATATATATATATATATATATATATATATATATATATATATATATATATATATATATATATATATATATATATATATATATATATATATATTTTAAACGTAGTTAGACAGAAAAAATATATTGTTGTATGATATTTTTAATTAAACATTGTATTTACATTCTTTTTAAGTGGTACTTCTTTATATACAAGAATTGTTTTGTCTATCTCTACGATTTAAAATATAAAAATATGATTTTAGAAATATAATTATTTATATTCTGTAGAACCATAAATATGTATGTTTATGTATTTGGAAGTATAGGTATAAATTAATATTTATAAAAAAATGTTAAAATACGTAAGTAATTTAGTGAAATCGTCCTTATGGTTTGGTCAAAATTGCACGTTTGGTTCTTAATTTTTTTTTGCACTCAAATCGTTCTCGTGGTTTGATTTTATTGCATTTTTCATCTCTTACATACATAAAATTAAGGACTAAACGTGTAATTTTGACAAAATCATAGGAATAAAAAACGCAACAAAATCAAACCATAAAAACAATTCAAGTGCAAAAAAAAAAATTAACGGCCAAACATGTAATTTTGATCAAATCATAAGAATAATTTCAGTAATTTACTCAAATACGTATTTATTCTTTTAAAATATATCTATACTTCTAAATACATAATAATACGTATTTATACTTCTTTAAATATATTTTTATGTTTTAAAGCATACAAATAGACAAAAAAACATATACAAAGAAATATCATTTAAAAAATATAAATGTTTAATTAAATATATTGTTATATATAAATACGTTTTCCTTGTATGAATACAATGTATGAAAAAAAAATTATTTAAGGGCCCAACATAAAAAAAAAAAAATTATAGACTTAAATTTCTTAAAATTTATTTGATGATAACCTAAAACATGATATCCCATATAAAAATAGCAAAAATAAAAAATTGCTCGTAAATTCACACATTAATAAATATAAAAGCAAACATAGGGTAAAACAGTATTTACTTGACAAATTTATTGCTGTTAAAAAAAAAAAAAAAAAAAAAAAAAAAATTATTTTGACAAATTTATTAATTAATGTCTTTAATGTAGGAAGCCCAAGTTTTCACATTTAAAAACCCAAATTCTCTACCATTTCTATTTCGAAGTTGCAGAGTCCCGAGCTCCTCCCCACCGGAGCCATGTTTTCATACGATTCCCTCCCACCACCCAAATCTTTCTTAACAGCCGCCGCATCCTTCACTGCCTCTGCCCTCCTCTTCAGAACCATCGCTTCCGATCTCATTCCAACCGAGCACATCAAATCCCTCTTCAAACGCTTCTCCACCCAACTCACCGTCGTCATCGAAGAATCCGATGGCCTCACCCCCAACCAACTCTTCGAAGCTGCCAACATTTATTTGGGCACCAAGTTATCTCCCTCCACACACCGAATCAAAGCCAATAAAGCTGAAAAAGACGACGAACTCACAGTCACAGTCGATCGCAACCAACCCATAATCGATGTCTTCCAAAACGTCAAATGCACCTGGGTTTTGCAAACCGAAGTAATCGAGGTCGATCACAACTCGAATTCTCGGTCTGAACTTAAATTCTTTGAATTAGATTTTCACAAGAAGCATAAGGAAACAGTGTTGAAGGATTACCTGCCTTATGTATTGAAAAAAGCTACGGAGATCAAGGATGCGAATAAAGCAGTGAAGCTGCATACGGTGGATTATTACAGCGGAACCGATTACTGGAGCCCGGTGGTTCTGAACCACCCGGCGACATTCGAATCCATGGCTATGGATCTAGACAAGAAGGTAGAGCTTATGGAGGATCTTGATATGTTCGTAAGGAGGAAAGAGTATTACAGAAGGGTGGGGAGGGCTTGGAAACGAGGGTATTTGTTTTACGGACCACCTGGAACTGGAAAATCAAGCTTAATTGCAGCCATGGCCAACTATCTCAAGTTCGACGTCTATGATTTGGATTTAAAGGAGGTGCGAGGCAATTCCGATCTAAGGAAAATGCTGGTTGGCACAAAGAATCGATCTATCATTGTGATCGAGGACATTGATGCCTGCGGTGTAGGATTACAGAGTCGAGAAACAGAGAACGATGCTTCAAATTCAAACGAGGAAGACGATAAGGTACATGATACATTGTTATATCGAATAATCGAACCTTTTACTCTTTTACACGATCGATTCGA